AGATTCAGTCTAAATCAACGGGAAAAGCTTTTGGTGAGCAGGAAGCAGGTAAAGACAACAGTTAAAAACTCAGAATTTACGAGGACGTTCGTCTGACCGCTGACGATCATGATGATGATGATGATGTTGGTGATGATGATGATGACGATGATGATAATGATGATGATGATGATAAAGATAAATCTGCTTGGACCCAATTTACCCCAATATCTACCCAGAATTATTCCCTGCTTAGTACGTTTTTCATAGCTTCCATGGATGCGCTGAGATTGGATATTGTTTTCTGAACAGTTAATTGGCCGGTGATGTGTACGTCCACTTTTTAGAGTACCTAGTACTACCACTCATCGATTGGGCAAGAATGTAGGACAACCGGACGAGACAACTAAGGAGTCCACAGGTCTCACATCATCAAAGGCTAGCCTCTGTTCCGTCTTGATTGTGCTAAATATTGTTTTAACGCGTTTTGGCAGGTCGATAACGAAATGTGCGATAGCTCAAATCAAAATGACCGAACATCCCGGGTCGTCCCGAAAACCCCGTAATAAAGCTACACATTGTCCGTCGTGATAAGATGTAGTTGGTTTTGCTTTATTAGGGTAGGTGGTATGCGTGTACGAATGTGATTTCATAGCTCTGTAAGCCTATTTTTCCATTCCACAGTTCTGTTACTTGTTTGCTAACCTACTCGAATGGCTTACCGTTCAACCAATTAAAATGCACGCTTATCATGACATCCATGACCACATAACCAATCAGCGCGTACGAGGTCACAATAATGTGACGGGCATATACACCCCCCACCCTGTATCATTTCCTTCAGTGTTAACCTACGTGCTTACTAATGTGCACCACCTTATCCACTGTCTAAATTCAAACGTCACTTGTAACTCCCGTACCTTCTCGAAAATGCGCTGGTGTTTATGCGGCACTACCATGTGTATTCGGGCGTATTTGCTTACATGGTTAGGCTGACTTGCAATGTCAGACAAGGTGTAGGAAGATGTACACTGAGGTAACTCTCGCTCGAACAAGCGTCCTCCTACCCTGGGCACAGCCATTCGGGTGAGTCGAGACCAAAGAATGGTGGGAAGCTATGGACTCAAGTTTCGCTCTTATTAGTGTTCATCAGCAGTGGATATCCTTGGCTGCGGCGCGGTTTAAATGCCGCACATCTGCGTGTTACTACTACTCCAGCAGCTCACAATGGACGCATCTGGATTTTTACGTCCGAACAGATAAACATGTTCGCGCTTGACCCTGTGGCATACCTTGGTTGTGTCGACCGGTTGGCCCAGCTAGTCAAGACTTTCCAGTCGGGCAGCACCAAAGACGCTTGAAACCTGCTGGAAACTTTTTGTTTCAGGTGTCGGTGGTGTTGTAGTTTATCAAAAGACTTAGCAGTACGGAGTTGCGGGAAGGTACATTATTCTCACGTTCTTCTGTTAAACCCGATCAGTTCACATGAACATGTTAGGTAAGTGGCTGCCCTCGAAAGTTTGCGTTTCGAATGTTATGATATAGATGGTAAAACAGACCGGTATGATGACTGTTCTGTCAGAAACACTATAGGAATCTTTTGTGTATTTGTAAACGCCAAGACAGATCTCAGCAACATCACATATGTATGTCGGCAAGCGATTTCGAAAGAGAGACATGAAGTAGAAAGTCTAGGAAATGTGTGGTTTTCGGTGGAGGTCACACAATGAACACAACCCGAGTCCAGCTGCCCTGTTTAACGGTGGACCAGGCCAAAACATATGTCCCAGCCGAGTCCATATAGTCAATTAAAGAACAACGGATACTGACACTGCATCGGCTGAGTGTCCCTTCAACATAGCAGGAAGAGAAAACACGTGGACCTGAGTTGTGAGGACCGATCGAATGTTAGCAGCAGTGTTCCCCAAAGGTCTAATCAACAAGTAAGATGTTTAGCTGCGCGTTACCTGTTAGCAGTAAATCTTCAGTAGAAAGGAATAACTAGGTGTCACCCGAAAAACCAGTATGAACGTTCAATCCATCTTAGTATGTTTACCAATGGTTGGTGGCTTATGTGCTTTTTTATCGAATTGTGCAGCCTGAAACAGTAGTTATATTCACAGGAATCCTAATGAGAATCGGGATGTTGTCATTCCCGTAGCATACTGAAGGTGCTTTTCCCAAGGAACCACTTAAATGCTTTTGTGATACTGTCATCGCCGTATGTAAGAATAGCGATTATGGCCTTTATACACAGGGGGCAGATTCCTACCATTTATTTGTACCATCCTAAGCGGCTTTCACGTGAGTATGCCAGTCCCTCCTTTCTAGCTCATAAGGAAATATGATATCTCTTGAAGGAAAACTTTATGAGTGAAGCAGAAGAAATTTCGGTTCACAGTATTTCACATAGTTCACATCCATTAGTGAGGACAAAACGAGCATCAGATTGCATCTTTATTGATCCAAATTTTCAAATTGTTGGTGTAAATCAAACCAGGCGATTGTGATAGCAGGCGGCTGATAAATAAAAGAAATAACCGTGAGGCATGCCCTGAAACTTATGGGACCCTACCAGACAGTGAATTCAGGGTCGACCATTTTTATCATGCTGCGAAGTAGCCAAGCGTTTATGACAGGATAGATGAACATCACAATGACAGCGCCACAAGGTCAATCACTAGCAAACCATCGTTTCGACCTCTTCATTACCCGGTTCCGCTTCTAGCCAAAGGTCAGAGCAAGTCGGCGCAAAACAGCAATTTATAATGCAATACACTTGATTTCGTTTTGGTAAACAGTCTGTGGCAGAGCAAAATATTGCCAGCTAGATATTTTCAGCAACTTACCCTTGCTCTTCACACTAGGATGGCTGTGCTTCTGTGAAAAGGATGGTAGCATCAATTAGTCGGGCGGTAATTGATCCAGCTAATATCAGAACGTGCAATCCAGAAAACAGACGGTCTTGACTAAAAAGCAACGATTTTATCGAATACGGGCCACAGTGAAGCCTTGAACTCACACGCTACACTTTAGTCTTACGTGAGAATAAGTAAGGTACGGCAGAAGCCTTTTGATGAAACAGATAAGTGGAAAAATAAGGGAATCTAGTGGAAGAGATGCGGACTAAAGGCATTAGCCGAAATTGTCGCGAACATTGCTCAAGGACAAAATGTCTTTTGGACATGTTGACATGCACAAAGTCTTGATATGGTAGGATGACGGACAAAATTGTTCGGGTTCTAGTTTGTGCCTCGTAGACATAACCGTATTGAAAGACGTAACTTCTGCCAGATGCCGTACAGAGACTAGCCGGACAAAATGGTTTCAAGATACCTGTCAGCGTTCTACAGGAGGCTGCCTGTAAAACAGTCGCCTCTTTTAACACGCGGATTAGTGTTCCGGCTGACAGTACACCAACATTAAAGATGACGTAGGTTACCAAAAGCCTGTCTTCCGTTTTGTATTCCAGAACTTCATCGGAACTAATTTTACTTGACAACATGCCACTTCCCCCATTCATTTACCTACTCCGCCTGACTATGCGTGATTTAGTTGGCTGGCTTTTAGTAAATTCACCAAAGTTCATACTTCGTCGTCTGCCTACAAAGCTTTGCTCAACAAGTTGTGCGACGGTTGACACAACGTTCTACACGTGTATTCTCACGTGTCAACAGCCTCTGAGGCGGTATGCCTAATACCCAAAACTCGGGAACGGTGCCTACTTAAGAGCCCCAAGCAGGCTGAAACCGGTCGTGGAATGCCAAAGAATTTTATGCAAACTCTTGAGGAGATCTAGACCTTGATCTATAGACTCCGCAGAAGAGTTCCTGTTGAGCTCTTCTCATGCATCCATGATTTTTCCCTTCGCCTTAAGAATATGGTTCCAGTTGTCTCTATACTTGTCTTCGTACTTTTGTCGGTCTGGTTTGGTTTGGTTTTTATCTGTAGCAGTGTTAAGGACATACCAACACTTCAACAGCTTTGTCAATTGATCTCCTTGGTTATAACCACTGGACTAACTCGTAGTCTTGCGGAAACCTGGAGAGGATGGTTTCTGCGTACCTAGAAGCAGTAATCGACCGCAACCATCCAGTCGGCATCCATGATAGGAATGATGGCCTTCACTAAAAGGCATCTTCACTTGTCAGTGTTGTATCATGCTGATGTTTGGGCGGTCCAGATGGCACATTCACCGCAGTTCACGTCCCTTTATTCATGCCTTCATTGGATGCGATCTTCTCCTCGCTTGAGTGCATGTGCCGTCTAGTCGGCAGAAGCACCCGAAAATTCAGAGAAAGGGACCCTTTGAGATTTAAGATACCCCTTAGATACTCTTTGCCACACTGTCCTGTAGATTCCGCACAGACTTCGTAGTTTTCCGGAAAATCTACTCACAGGAAGTGATCAAAAAATTGCTCACAATGGTTTTGCATCAAGCAGATTTTGTTACAATTGTAATTCCGGCGCCATTCCGGTGCGTACAAATTATTTATTCAGTTATCTTCTGCCAGAATATTCCATTTGCCGTCTGTTAACTGGCTGAAATGAAATGTTGTTCTAGCTGCGATTGGAAATGCAGTTTTTGTAGTTCTGGTGAGTCGCTCATGTTGCAAATGCAGCTCAAGCGCATTTATCAATCTATGGTGGATGTATGAACCTCTGTAATAACTAAGATCCTTCCAGTAAGCAACATGAAATTAAGGAGGATGGATGCCTTGCGTGATGTTGACGAACGTGTGAACTTTGAAGTTTGGACGGGAGAGGGCTGCTGTAGACTCTTACCAACAGAGGTCATCCTGACCGAAACGAGCAAGGACACTTGACCAGTCCGAGCCATCAGATAGGCAAATAAACAGTTTCATGCGTGGCTTTCATGACTAACATATTGATATTGTTGGAACAGCTATCCCGTCGTCCAAAAAATCAAGAAATTTATGAAGATTACCCCGAGCGCACATTTACAAAGCAATGAATCACAGATTAACTACGTATACTATTTTTTTAATTCTTCCCCTCAGGCATCTTCACCCGATGAAAAAGCTCTTGTTGAAGGTGCTGCCCAAAACGGAGTTGTATTCGTTGGCGTGGAGCCCGTTGAAGATTCAATTTCGACCAAACGGTACAAAATTGAGTACAGGAATGGTGGCTCAACAAACGACAATGCTGCTGAGCAGAAATGCTACCTGGTCGACGCCGTTCTGGAGTTTACTTCGGAACGGAAACGAATGACTGTAATGGTTCGTTATCCGGACGGTACCTATCACATACACAGCAAAGGTGCCGAAAGTACGATGCTCACACCTGAGGTGAGTACGAAAGTCTTATTTTTTCAGTGAATTAAATCTCCTTGGTAGTAACCTCGTTTAGTTGGTCGCTGGAATTTTTCTGCATACACAAGGTATTCTTCTTCAGTCAGGCATTCTGTGTAACTCAGAAACCGCATCCCTGATGCAGCTCAACAGGCCACTTGTTGTGAGTTCATGAACGGTTGTGCAACTTTGTACCCACCCCCTGGCTTCCTGCTCTGCCCACAACGGTATATCAAAATGCACGGTAGCTTCAGACAGCGCTGTCATGGAGACAAAAGAAGATTATTGCAACTGTATTTAAAGAGTAATCACCAAATGTTCCGCAAGGTCGTGCTAGAATCCCCGTGAGAGGGCGAGATGCTTCGCGCTGAAGATGCTCTATCCTGATTGGCTGGCATTCTGACCAATCAGGCATGCCTTCTTTTAGTCGGTAGCCCGCACGAGACACGTCCGCCCAACTGACGTGCTGTTCGGTTTTTAGGGGTGACTGGTCTCCGGACACCAGTGGAACTAAATATAGCGAAAAATTCTGCAACATAATTATTGCCAGACCCATTTATTCTCAAGATATATTCAATCAACTCCTCTCTGGTTCGTAATCCACTGAACCGATTATTCTAGCTGACAGGTCAGAATGAAATAATCGATTTCGAACGTTCATGACTAGCTCAGCACGAACCTTGGGGTGACTTGACAAGCGCTGAATAATAAACTACCAGAAATTCAGCTACTTCAGCACAGCCGAAATATTTGGATTGAAATTATCACCCGCTCCATGGTTACTGTTTAACCCGAGAGGTGTTTCTGAAGGAACAAATGCATGTGCAACCTAACCTGGTGTTGACGGGAGACGCGAATGAACTCCAGTACAATCTGTCGTTTGTACTATTCCTCAGTCAAATCTGCTGCACAATTTGGAGCAACATTCGAGCTATCACAATGAACGAAGGTTACTGATAAGTTTGCTAAAACTCTGGAAATCCGCCGCTGGTTTTTGCCGCCCTCGAGGAGCCTTGAGGAGTGCAAAACTGTCTAACAGTTTTCAGTCAACTTTTGAGTAGTCTGTTCCATCAACAAACACATCTCCCTCACTTCATTCAAACCAGTGAATTCATCCTTTGTTCATGCATAATTTTTTTTCAATTTTCCACGCATAAAGTCGTCAAAACGCCGAATACCATTGAGATGAATTTAGAAGAAGTCTTTGACTTCGCTTCTGAAATTCACTCACTGCGAGAAATGCTTCGAATCTTTAGGAATTCTCTGAAGCGATTTCCTGCACAACTGAAGACCTAAAGGGTAACAAAAAAACACTTTAAACTCGGCATGGTGATAATGATAGCCCCAAGTGCGTCCTAGCTAAATCCCTCGTTTCTATCATTAGAATGTGAAACGGAGATCACCTGCTGTTTTGGTTGGAACACCATTCTAGGAGGAAAAGAATTTTTCTCAAAGCGATACCACTCTTGGACAACTGAAGGTATCAAAAACGAGAGATGCGGCTGAGATCTACCTGAGCTCTGAGCTAAGAGCACTTTAGTTTTCAAAAGTATTCATTTGCACATGCATTCGGGTTCAAAGTGAGATTGATGGGAAGTTGGGGAGTATACTTGCCTGGTGACCCCCAAAAGCGAGAAGCTAAGTGCTTTTATGATTTTGCCAGCAGTGTCATGGCAGGTGATCCGTTTTTGTTCTTTCTTGGTGCTGTTTGATGAGAACATAAAATTCCGCCCTCCTCAGTGGTTCTTATTAGGCTAAAATCGTGCTGGAAGGCTTATTAGGAAAGGTCCATACAGGGTATGACGAACGTGATTCTGGTTTGATCCTCCTTTTACGAAACATATCAACATCGATCCGGGTTTAATAATTGCGGGATACAACATTAAATCATAGGACTAAGACGCTATGAGTAGTATTTCACGCGAAGTAATAACGGTTTTGGATATGGGAGGGTCATAGAAGTCATTTCGAACACTCTTTTCTTCTACCTGCTCCGTTTTTCTGCAATATTACCGAGAAGAGCACTCAACTTGGACAAAATGTGTATCGTTCGCAATAGATTGTAGAGGGCTAAATAAAACAACCGAACATAGTCCGTTGATCAGTGGCCTACATTCTGGATAGTCCAAACCCGTCTAAGGGACTTTTGATATCCGATCAGACACGTGGTCGACAAAGTGCTAGTACGACCCCGGTGGTTTCCTTGATTATCTTGGCTACCCAAATGTGTGGGATGATGATGGACCCGGGTAGCTCATGTGATAACACCGCGGACTGGCCCCTCATGAGTGTTCTCAAATTGACTGCTGACTCCTGCCACGAAATACTGGACGTGTTGGTTCATCGATATGTTGATGATTGAACTCATTTCTTGACCGTGATATTGTTTTTGTCATTCGCAACTCCAGTTTTTTGTCAATGATCTCGGCTGGATCTGGGTAGTTATCCAAACGCTTTTACAAATTGGTAGGGTCATATAAGGCCTTCATCTCAGACTGGCATACTCGACTTCATTTGTCATTGTGAAGTGTGGATGGTTAGTTAGAACATGAAATAACCAGGATGACTGGGTGATTGAAGCAAGCATACTTCAAAGGTGTCAGCTCACGTATGAACGCCTCTGTCTTAGGCGTACACATCATAGGGCTAATACTTCAGCAGCCCCCCTCATCCAAACGTAAGCCTTCCAGCTATGGAAGATGATTAGTCACATCTGGATGCTCATTGTATGCATATCAGAAATGAAACTGAGCTACATTAGACCGTTTATGACACGCCCTAGTAAAGCGCATAGGATTGGATGTAGAACACGTTTTGGGACTAGTTGTCAGCTTGTGATTTTGAACGTGGTTCACAACATGCATTGATTCAGGGTAACCAATGTCGCACACATTCATTGCTAGCTAAGTACAGAACTGAAGGTAAATCAATCCAAAAAAAACAGTATGTTGGAGACTCCCTCAACAAGTATGGCGTAGCAGAATGAGCTGCTTTGTCTCATTTTCTGCCTACGTTTTGCATAGACTCATTGGAAATTGACGCGCGGTATAGTATTCAAAAGTATGAGAACGAGACTAATGTTGGTAGATCATGTTCTACACTAACGGGTACCTACTTATTCCAACAAATTCACAGATCGTGTAACACGTAACGGCTTAATCCGTTCAGGTGCATGAAGACAGCTCGATTGTCTCTGAACTGTTGTCACCCCAACTAGTTTCAACTACTTTCCGCTATGTCAACTTAAATGCACAGTTTTCAGCCTCACAAGATAAATTTCCTCCCTGATATTATCGATTTGGTCATCCAAAACTCTATGATTCCTACCGCCCTACAAAATAGGTGGGTGAGGGGAGAGAGGGGGGGGGGGGGGGGGGGGGGGTTCTGTCAGAGACTTCATTCTGTACATGAAACGGATTAATGCCGGAAGGTCGAGAAGTGCTAAATAGCTGTTTCGTCCTTGTTAAGAATCATCAGCAGCGTATACCTCGTGAAACTCAAGTATGTTCGAACCCGCCGTGAACGGGTGATTAGCAGAATAAATCTGCTGTGGAGGGTCCCAGTTTTCCAACATAAACTAGCCTTACTTACAGGATTTTAGATCTCGCTTGAGCCAAATACTGCTTTCAGCATGTTGCTGAAAAGAATTTTAATATTACCATGTAATCTAGTCAGTCCTTATCGCCCTCGGGTAGCATCCAATTTAGCTTCTTGGTGGGTTTTAAGTCGAAGGACGTAGGAAAGCCTGAATGCGACTTCAGTGTCGTCTCTATTCAAACGAGATCACTTGCCTACCTTCAGGTTTAAGAAGCAACACCGTGTACAGCTATGCGCAAACTATGCATGCATCGCTTGCCTTCTGTCCTCCGGGGGCATTTTTAAAGACCAACAACCCGTTTATCTATCTATCTATCTATCTATCTATCTATCTATCTATCTATCTATCTATCTATCTATCTATCTATCTATCTATCTATCTATCTATCTATCTATCTATCTATCTATCTATCTATCTATCTATCTATCTATCTATCTATCTATCTATCTATCTATCTATCTATCTATCTATCTATCTATCTATCTATCTATCTATCTATCTATCTATCTATCTATCTATCTATCTATCTATCTATCTATCTATCTATCTATCTATCTATCTATCTATCTATCTATCTATCTTCCTATCTATCTATCTATCTATCTATCTATCTATCTATCTATCTATCTATCTATCTATCTATCTATCTATCTATCTATCTATTATCTATCTATCTATCTATCTATCTGCTTACCTATCTAGTTTACCTGTGTACATCGTAAACTCATTTGGGTAGGACTGTTTGGAAATGAGTGTGTCTGAACAACGCTTTTCTTGGCTTCAAACAGAGAGCACAGGGAATCCAGGTTTTTTTAATCCCACTGGCTCTAGTAATAGCCAAAAATATAATCAACAATTAACGTACAAACCTTTCGACGCCTAAAAGTGTTTAGTGATAAATTATGCATGCACACATAGAATTCGGTTCCAATTAAACATACCTCTTTATGTTGGCACATCCTAAATCTATTTAAATGCAGAAACGTATGTGAGGCGAGCGTGTTAAAATACGTAGCTGAGTTATTACCGTGGCTGGCGATACAGCTTCGTGAGCTAGGAAGTACGATCGTTCATAGAAGCATGAATGTTTCCTAGTGTCCAGCTGCTGACAAAATTCTCACTCCCCCCCCCCAATGGACGCTGATATTTAAGTCTGATCTAGTTTCACTCAACCAACCAAAGCAGTACCCATGAAAGTGAGTTTCACTTGGAAATAGGCTGCGTTACCACTGATACCCGGTACTATTAGACACTCCGTAGAATTATAAAAATATCGGATTTTTTCCCATTCAGGCGTTATCGTAGTGTAGACATCTGAAGCTTCAAAATTATTCTACTTCCAGTGAGCCGTACTCACATGCACACAAACACACACACACGGGATGCATCAACCCAGATA